CCCTTGGCCTGGGGTGGCCACACGGGAGCGGGGAGCACTTGGGGACAGCCCAGGGGGTGGGGCTGGGACCCCGGTGTGCGCAGCTGGTGCGGAGGGAGACCTGAGGGGCGGAGAGATGGGGATGCGGGCGGCGGGGTAGGAAACCGCCCGGAGGCATTGACTAGTGTCCAACTTTTGAATGTTTCAGAATATAATCCGAAGTTTCCTAAATGTTATTTTACAAATCGGGCCTGGCTTTGGGGATCGCCCGCAGCCGGCACTCGGCGCGGCCCGCCTCGGCGCGGGTGTTGGTCTCGGGGCCAGCGCGGCTGGCGCGTTTGTGCCAGGCGGCACCGCAAGGACTCGCAGGCACGCGGGGGAGGTGCAGCGAGGACGGAGTCACAGGGAGATGTGGGGGCTGCGCTTCCCTGAGGCAGCTGCATGAATCAGCCTGTGAGTCACCCAACTATTTGCCTTTACAGTACGAAATTTGTGACAAGCAATCGAATCCAGTTTTTATTGAGAATTAGCATTAGCCCTCAACTGACCTTTCCCTGGTTCTAAAACCCCTAATTTTAAAGCATGGTCAAAGGCTTTATTTCGTTTATTAAATTGCCACAAATCTTTGGCCACTATGCTACAAACATAGTAGAACACCTGGTAACAGGGACAGACATCCACAACGTGTACAGTAAGAAGCTAACCCTGTAATAATTATTATAAATTATCATTATAATTATTATAAATTCCCTTCCCTCCTGGGTCTACATTTTTATTACAAAGCTAAATGTGGGTAATCCTCCAGGCTAAAGGTCAGTCTACTGCATGCAAGTGTCAGAAACAACCCCCTGGCCACACTGGAAGGTTTCCTGAGTATTTGCCCCAGACTCCGAGGGCACTGCAGACCAATTACACTATCAACACTAATGAAAGGCACTCATTGTCCAGAGCTGCATTTCAAGCATATACTTGGATCGTATCCAAAGTGTCACACCTCAGAGGACTGCACTACAGCCTAGCAGTCACAATATGGGTTCCTCTTCCAAACTGCCTGTCAGCTTGAAGTCACAGCAAAGTGACACAGTGGCTGCCCTGGCCAGGCCATGGCCCAGGAGGATCCAGGAGAGGAGCATACTGTGAAGCCTTGGGGGGGAGGGGGCAAGCTGCCTTTGTGTGACCTCCATTCCAGGGCCCTGAGTTAGCTGTCTAGATTGGGTGACCAAAATGTTCAGTCCTGTGGGGTGGGGTGGGGGAGGGGAAGCTCTTATTGTGCTTTTGGGAGGTTAACAGTTCAGTGGGTGTCAGACAGGAAAACAGTGTCATAGAACTAAAGCCAGAACAGTGAAAAGGGGTTGGGGGACTGGGGGACTGGACTCATACTGCTTGGAGGGAGGGTAATTGAGTTCCGCAGGAATACGGGGTCCCAAGGGTTATATAAGCTTCAGCCAGAGGCGGCAGGGGCCAGAACACAGAGGGCCTTGGTAGCCCCACTGAGTTTAAGTTTTTCATAGACAACAGGGAATGACTAAAGTGTTGTTAGCACTCTGTGGCCATATGGAAGGACATTTTAGAGACCAACTGGAGGAGTCTCAACAGTCCAGGTTAGAGACAAGGGACTGAACTAAGGCATGGGCCCTGGGAGTGAAAAGGGGCAGGATTCTAGAAATGAAAGGTGAGAGGGAAATCTAGAATGGCTTCCAAGTTTCTGGCTTCCAATTGGCAGTATTACTCCTTGAGCCAGCAGTTATATTTGAGGTGCCTGCACAGTGGGTCCCAGCACCTAGAACCATACCTGGCACGCAGCAGACACATGTATTGAGTTAGAGATATTCAGTGAGTTCAGAGCTCAGAAGACAGCCTCATGACAATAACTGAAACCACAGGAAGTGGAGAAGGAACAGCAGCTAATGGGATGGCACACTTAAGAAGCCAGAGGAGGTAGCACAGCCTGAAAGGCACCAAGCCAGGCAGAGCATATCCCTGGGGTGATCGTGTCAGCAGAGAAGCCAAAATGAGAAAATATCCTGGTGGGCAAACAGTAGAGTAGGGACAATTGCCAAAGCTGTGAACAGTAAGGCTTGTGCTTCCAGAGCTGGGTGCTGACCTCCAAGGTCCACGGGGAAGACGGCCACTTGACTGCTCCAAGGCTCCAGCATCGAGGGATGTAATGGACAGAGAAGTGTTTTAGGGACTTGTTCTCCTAAATGCTCCTCCCTAACCATCACAAAGCAGGGAGAAGAAACTGTTTTCCTGGTCTAACCCTGGCAAGACACAGATTTCACTTTGTGAAATGTGCATATGATCTCAGTCGCCCATCCCAGCTCTGAAAAACACATCTTGTCTCATTTGAACATCACAGCGTTGTTTGCATCACGTATTCCGAAATGTCAACGCACAGTGTGACCTCTGGCAGTTCCCACACATAACTGCCCTGATTCCTTACTGGCAAAACGAGGGCTGGGTTAAAAAATTCTCTCTCCCAGAAGTGACCTTGGTTGAGAATAGAACCCTCTGCCTGGTAATAACCGGTGCCTCACAGTGGAGAAGTCTGGCATGATGGGATAAAGATGTGAAGAAATGCCACATCCTGGACAGTTCCTATGACTAGGACAGGCTGCCCCTCGACTTTCCACACTGTGAAGTGGCGTGGCTTCCACTGCTTTCATACCGCCCAATGCTCTGTGCCCAGCACCTTGCAAGCCAGGGTCCACCCTCCTCTTTAGTGCATGGTGTAAGATCTGGTAACCTTTCGAGACACTAATACACTAAAAACTCTCCTGTAAATCCATTCAAGAAAAACTGAAGTACTCAAACTACATTTCCTAGAAATAGTTCTCAATCATGAGGGCAAGTTTGTTCCACGAAAGTGAAGCTACTATAATGACCTCTGTCTATTTTTTCAGTAAGAGATGCTTAAATTCAAAGAACGTACATTTTCAAATGTAAGATGCAATTTGGCTCAGACTCAAGTCTGAATTTATCCAAGATACTTCCTTTAAGTCTTAATTAAGCTACAATTTTAACCTAGAAAGCAAACACCTAAAAAGAGCTTTTTGTGTATGTCACTCACTACCAGGAAATATTAACTTTCTTGGGAAAATTTAGAAAATATTGTAGCTGTTGTTTCAGACTGTGTCAGAGAGAAGATAGTCTTAATCTTTATCTATTACTCAACCCAGGAAAGGGACAGGTAGGTAAGAATAAATGCTTAGCACAGGTGCGAGAAGGCCAAAGTGCAAAAACCTGGGAGCCATTCTAGATTCTCCTCCAACTTCCCATCAGGTCTTTCCCTGTGCACCCCGCTGGGTTTGTGGCTCAAACTATGTCAAATGTTACAAGCTTCCAGGACAGCATTACTGCTCTTCAAAAGCGACACACATGCTCTGTTTACAAACTAGAGATATAAACCTTTATTTCACAACTTTGTCATAGTTCACTTTCTAATAAGACATGTACTGAGGACACGGTTTAAAATTCTGGGAAAGCTAGATGCTGGGTGTCTTCCAGGCAGGAGCAAAGATGTGGTCACTTCAGGGCCGGTGCGTTCCTGAGGTTTGCAGGCAGCATGGACCAGATGCACCAGTATCGTCCAACCCCAGTTTTACTTAGAGCCGCCTCCTTTTTTGGGCCCACTAGTCCTCATTTCATGCCAAATTTTCACTAGAGGCTCCCTGTTCTTCCAAATGAGTTCATGACCATAAGTAATATACCATCTGGGGAAAAGAAAAACAAAGCAGGCCCGATATTCAAACAGTATGACATACACATGTTAAGTGCCATGATGATATCAAGTTGACATTTAAAAAATTAATGCCACTGTCATTTACTATCTAGCTTATTAAAATAGCTGATTAACTTATTTGATATTCATCTATGATTTACCTTTAATATATGCAGTGTGTAAAAGGTCAAAGTAGGGTGGGACCACATGTGCCTGATCTCAAAGTGTAAGTACTTCACACACACTACTTTGGATTCACCACAGCTCTGCCAGTTAAGCATCACTTCTCCTGTTATAGACATGAGGAAACCACATCTGAGAGAAGGTAACCTGCCCAAGGTGCTAATACCGACTAAGTGGCCAATCAAGGACTCACCAACAGGTCAGACCAATTCTAAGCCTGGTGAGAAAATTCAAAAATAGAATTTACTAATGATGATAATTTAAATGCTTCTCATAGTTTTTCACCTGGCTAACAAAGGGTCATCTGCTGATCCTAATTCTGCCCACCCTTTAAAGTACAGTTACCATCCCCATTCTCCCGTTAAACACTGCCTAAAAGCAGCCTGAGCTGAGGAAGCTCAAGAACTGAGAGGTTTAGTAACTTAACTTGCTCAGGTTGCACAACTAGGAATCACCAGAACTGAGACTAGAACCCAAATCTGACTTTAAAACCTGTGTTCCAACCACTGTGCTATACTGCAGCACCTAGGGAGCATCTACTATAAGCTGAGGAACACAGAGTGACAAATGAGAAGGGCTGATTTTGAGTAGCTGATAAGTGCAGGTACTGGAAGACCAGGCGCTCTGCCTGAGGGCAGCACAAGCTCCAAGTATAACTCAGAGGCATCTATCTACCTCCCCTCCTGGGCTGGGGGAGGCTGGGAGGGCTTCCTGAAGGAAGTGGGATTGATTTGAAATGGCTGTTGATGAAAGCTTTTAGTACTGAAAGCTTTATTTTTGCCCTGTTTTCCTCAGGTTTCTTTTCCCGAGGCACACACCAGATTTTGTTGATCTTTGCATCTCTCAGACACCTACTGAAAAAATGCTCTATTTCCTTTACACTGGTATCAGAATAGCAAGTTTAAGGTTTTAACATTTGTAAATATTCTGAGTATTTTTTTTTATTTTAAGGTGCTTGAATTGTACCTAAATCTTAATATTCACTAAAAGTAGTTAAAATCTGATCATAAAACTACATAGTCACCATGAAAATTTTGAGAAAGTAACAAAATCAGTAAACTTACAGAAAGAAAAAAAAGGCATTTAAAAAAACATGCAGTCCTGGACAGTGGCTCAGTTGGTTGGGTGTTGTCACATGTACTGAGAGGTTGCTATGCCAAGGTTGTGGCCTCCACCTCCACTAGGGGGCATGCAGGAGGCAGCCAATAGATTCGCTCTCACATTAATGTTTCTCTCTCTCCCTCTCCCTTTAAAAAAATTGAAATTTTTTTTAAAAAATGCAAATTAATAGGCATGTAACAGAATTCTTTTGGGCTTAGTCTTAGAATCAAGTCCTGTGGTGAACTTAGAACAAAAGAAAAAGTATCACTCTAAGATTCAAATGCAATTGTAAAACTCTTGCAAGAAATTAATCACTTGTCAGAAACTCTCGATAAATAAAGTGTTCTTCCCAAATCCTTTTAACCTACTTATTTCAGGCAGAGTCAAATACTTTAACCTTACTGGTACACCATTCTGATTAGACATGTAAGTTCAAATGTAATTGGTTATTTGGCTAAATTTAAATTAGGAAAACACTTCAAAACGACCAATTTCTGAGGTGTCTTTTTTTTTTATAGCCTCATAGTCTGGTGCTCAGTCTGAAACTTTAGCTCTGCAATGACTTTGTGACCTTCAACAAGTTACCTTCAATATACGTCAGCTATTATTATTGCAGCAGTGCAAGGTGAACACCATAAAATTTGATGACAGACATAAAGTCAAGGAAACATGCAGGATACCAATGGAATCTTTACTATTATTAAAGATTTCTAAATCTAGATTAAACATGTTCTGGATACGGCTGAAATAGAGTAAATAAAAGAAGCTGATATTAGGAACAGCAAAGAAAAATGATTCCTCTGCCTTTCAGATCCTGGACTTTAAAATGCATTTGATCCAATTATTTTCAGAATGGAAAAAGGTCATCTAATTCTAGTTCAGAAGAATAAAAACCTGCTGGGGAAAAGATACTTTAAGTACACATGGAAGGATCCAGATAAATTTAGAGTTCAGAACCCTTTTTCATAAGTCTTTGTTTCTCATGCTGTAATAGCAGGTCAGTTTCTACTATTTATAATGTGCTGCTGTGAAAGCTAGAACTCACATATGTTATTCTTTAATCATCACTGAAAATTAAAAATGGCATAATGGCATTTAATTCCACTGCCTACTGGGCAAAACTGCTCTACTTAGAATTTTTCAAAAAAATATTTTTAAAAATATTTTTCCCACTGTCATGAAACAAAGTAAGAGCCAAGTAAGGGCAAAAAGCAACATTTATACAAGAAAAGATAGGCCATTGGGGATCTAGCACATCAGATAGATAACTCTGCTAAAGGGACTCTCATGGTCAGATGGGCTCCAGGAGTCCTGAGGAAGTTCTGTGACAAAGACGCTTAATAGCACTACTGTTTTAGGCAAAAGTCCATTGTCTGATGCACAAGTGGAAGATCTTGTGACCACAATGGAATTGTTCTCAATTGTATGACAGGGCGGGAAGGGCTTTGGATCTGGGTTGAAATCTCAGCTCGGCTACTTAAGAGCTATCTGACTTCTGATCATAAGATAAAGAGGTAGTAAGGTAGCTAGCTCAGTGCCTGCCACAGAATAGATGCTCAGGAAGTGGTCAGCACTGGTCTGTCTGTGAACCTTGGCCTGTCACGCAGCGTGCAGCCACACACAAACTCACTGCAGCAGAGCAATAGCTCTAGCTCTGTGCACTCAGTGTGTCTGCCCAGCACCTGTGAGATGGTGGTAAGGATGGGGTTTGGGCAGGGGAGAGGAGGCCTCAGAGTGGGGGAATGGGGTGATAGCCCAGATTGGGGGCTGGGGAACAGTCTCAAAAAGGGGCCAGGAATCAGAACAGGTCAGGAGTTGGGGTGACCTGAGGTTAAGGGTAGGGTAAAGGCACAGTTAGTCTCTATCAATGACTGAGGTAGTGAGGGCCAGGGCTGATATTCTCCTGTCCCACCTGACATGGTGAAACTGGGCAAGGCCAAAGCAAACCGTGTTGAGGATTCATCACCCTTTCAACCCCACCTGCCCCCACCCTACTCTGCCTTCTTTAGGGGTAGGAGAGGAAAATGATCTGAAAAAGCAATGTAGCAATCAATTATACTCAAACTTACATTCCAAAGAGAGCTCCCCCAAGATGTGCTGCATGATCAAAAAATCTCCATCCCAGGACCATTCCTGCTGTATCCATGGCAA